CTGACTAAAATATTCCTTTGTGTGCTGGATCAGAACTTCATTTAAGTAATTTCTTTGTTTTCTGGAGGCCAAACCTTTATGTAGGCTTAGAAGACCACAGCTGGCAACAAGAACAACGAGCTAGTGTCAAAGCAGCTTTCAGGGCCAGAGCATACTCAGAAGATAAACATCTGAAACAGGGCCCCAGTGTCAGAGGAAACTACTGCAGCTTAACAAGGTACTTACTACCTATCACGGGTACTGTAACAACTGACTGCAGATATGTTTCGAGCCTGTGGCTAACTGAAAGCAAAAGTACTTTGGCCTTTCTTACTGGTGTTAGAGCCATCGGCTGGATCAACTAAACTCAAAAGGCTCAATTGTTTCCCCTGTTCAGATGCTCCGAGACAAGGACTTCTGCCAGTATTCCTATTGAATGTCTCTGACTAGTCTTAAATTCACACACTTGATTCAGGCAATTCAACCTGAAAGCAATTATGGAAAATATTCAAGTACTTGGTTCTACAGAGGAATAAAATCACAAGAAAAAGTAACAATTCAGGATGTTACCACAGAATGTTAAGTGATGTTCCTCTTTTATGCTATAGAAGAGAGAATAACTTCATCTAAACTATAATGAAACACGTAGAAATTAGAAATAAATGTCCATTTAGGTGGCTTTGTGCTAAAATTTAAGAAAAATACAATTTGCTTAATAAACTGCTGGCACATTTGAAACTCAGCTTTATCATAATCCTCATTAAAGACTCGTTTAGGGACAGCTCCATCAATTTAGTACCTTTAACACAAATGGATCAAGTCTTGCAGTGTTCCCTTGGCACAAAGGAAATGTTTTCAAGAATTGTTTGAAATGCAGGATTCTGACAGAGAAGGCAGACACTATTACTTGTGGGAGCACACATTTATGCAGGTTCTTAAAGGGTTTGATGTTTTAGCATGTAATGACCCTGCATACAACATTGGTACTAAAAGGGGAAAATCTCTTCCCCCTATTCATACAGCTGTATCAACACAAGCATGCCAGATGTGATCCTTCCCTTGTGCTTTGTTTTGACACAAATCCAGTGATCAGCTCCCAGCATGTCTACCAGGCACTCCAGATCTGCCTTCTGTGGCTGTAACGCTCCCCACATCAACGCTATCGGCGTCCAGTTCCAGAAAAGGGGTTTTCCCTTTAAACAAGGACAGGGAACTCCTGCCATACAGATGATCCAGTGTGCAAGTCAGCCAGCTCCTACAGCTCACTTCTGCCAACAGAACCCTGAGCACCTCTCCAGTAAGGCTGCTGGACATGGGAGCTGAAGGGCCTTACCAGCAAAGCTGCATCACCAAAAAGCCCTGAGCACAGATCAGCTCACCAGCCACCAGAGTGGGCTGCACAGCCACGCCCTGGGCTTGAAGGTAGAAATAGCAGGTCTGGTGTTCTCCTTTCTTTTGCTTCTCTCTCTCTCTAACCATCTCAGGGAATTGTTACTCCCCTAAGGATTCTCAGCACAAAGGCAAACGAAAGACACTTTCCAGGATTTTGGACAAACTGAACATATGTTTTAATACACTCATTTTTCTAGAACCCTATTGATCTTTAAGATAGAAGTGACAAATTACTGTGTATATTTTGGGGCTATTCCTTAGAGGAATGGCAAAACACAGGTAACCATTTTAAAACAGTGAGAGGTATACCACGTACAAAAGTACTACTGTAACAACGAGCAATTTCAGTACTCCAGCTGTAATGGAAAGCTCCTGGAATGTGGCTAAACTAAATTCTGCTTGGCTCCGAGCCATGCAAATATTTCTTTTCTACGTTCCCATCAATTACAGAAGTACAGTAAGTGTTTATGTTCTTAAGTGCACTATTACAGGGGACACAAATAAGCCATTTTTCATCCAGTGGTTGGAGCTAACATTTCTAAAATACCGTATTACACATTTGGCAGACTGGAAGCATGCTCCAGTTTTCACTTGTGTTGCATTTGTAAGCCATGTCCTTTGAATCCACCGAAAGTGGGTAGTACAACTATATGTCCTAACCAGACTACACATGCTTACGATGGTAGCAGAGTTGTTTTTACTTCAGTACTGGTACAAGTATTCACATTTGGGAGAGCAGTCGTCATGAGCAGAGAACACCTGTTGTTCACTGTTTACTTGCAAACAATAGCAGCGATGTACCACGAAGGAACCATTTTAATGAAAAATTACATTGTATAAAGTCAGTTACCATTATAAATCCATGGTTTAGATTGATAATTTTATACCGAGACTTTATTAAGACAATTACTAATCTTACTAAAAAAGAAAAGCTAATTAGAGGTATGCACATACTTTTCACACTTTTTACAGTGAAATATATCCTCACAAACACTGCCTTCCATCACTGACAGTTTACCAAAACGTAAAAAGACTACAGAATTGAAACATACTCTCTCAATGCTTATCAGTTGTAGTCTGCCTGTACCATGTATGCTTACTTCTCCCCTTACAGAGGCCCCAAACTATAGCATGAGGTTGAATAAGAGCGCATTTCTAAGGATAAAAAGAAAATTTCCCGTTTTCTGAAGCCTCCAGTCCCATGTGGGGTGCACAACAAAGACACATTTGAAGTGCAGTGGGGTGAGTTTCTACAACACTACCATAAAAAATAAATGTCCTACAGAATTAACCATTATCATTAAACATGATAAGTTAACCATGGAAACTATATTTCCATGCTCAACTCTGACTCATATTGACCATCTTCAAAAAGAAATCTAGGTATCTCACTGAGAGTTAAATATAACCTTATTCACATTCTGCCTAGTCTTACCAATCCTTTACACATAGCATGTACTGGGGGTACCTGACCATACAAAGATGGCATCTAGCCAGATCCACATGTAGGGGTGTTCGGATGTTCCATTCTATTCAAGGCAAATTGGTAAACTCCAAGGGCCAAGAGGCCTGACCTTATGCATCAGACTGCTACTAGCAGGAGCTCTCTGACAGGTGCAAGGATGACAGAAAACCAGGGCAATTAGAAATTGTTAAATGTGAAATTACTAACGTGTTGATCCAGGAAGACAGCCTAATTTTGTGGACAGCTTTATACTGGATGGTAAGGAGGAACACACTTTCTTCAGTTAAATTTGATCTCAGCTACAGTATCAAGAACTGAGGTAAAAGCATTAACTCTGTAGTACAACACCCCATTGCACTCCATTGACAGAAAAAACTCTGCAGTGCTTTTGAGGTCTGATCAGATTCATTGTCTGGTAAATGCAAGGAAATATTCCATCACTTCAGAAAAGACACCAGATCACATCCTCAATTAGGTATGAGCTTTCTTTAACATTATTAGAAAAAGGAGAAATACCTGCTTTGCAGATAGTCTCCCGCTCTCAGTGTTTTCAGAGCCTGTATCAATAGCTGTTCAACAACAACAAAAAGTTAAACAGCATATTCTCATTCAGCATCTTGACCAGTGCCAAAATGCCTTAATTTCAGGCTCTAGGGTCTCCAATTTTCTTTCCTTTGACTCACTGAAAAAAAAATCAGCTCATAAAACACTGCTAAATCCATCTTCATGGTTCAACACTGACCACAGAAAATTTGTCTTCAGTTTTCCCAATGTCTCTCCTTCACCTTTATATTAGATGCCAACTGTATCAAATAAAATACTTGATCAATCCCTATGTCCTTGCTCTAGAATTTTAATAACTAACCTCAGTCAGCCAGTGTTTCCATTCTTTACGATATCTCTTTCCAAATTAAACTACCCTTAGGTTTCTTGCCTTTTCCTCCTTAGTCGTGCAAAACATTCTCCCCTATATAATCAAAACAGGTATTATCTTGTATTTCTTCAAATGCCATCGTTCATCTTTGTCTATCCATGGTTACATCAAGATGACTGGTTTACAGAAAAGTGAAACTTCTGGCTTTCTCACTCCTTGTGTTTTCTCCTCTCACGTGTCTGTCCTTAACATTTGTCTGTGAACACGGAGCCCGACACACACACACACAAAAATCACACCATCAGCAAAGCTGCGCCAGGTCTTCATAACACAGGCTTACTTATACCAACATTCGTGTCCTGTCTTTCTTTTGATATATGATTTACCTGATTTGTTCTCCAGGCTTTAAAACCTCGAGGGCAAGAATTATCATCTCTGCTCATATTATGGTTAGAACAATAAAGACTTAAAACAGGTTAAAGCTCTCAAACGTTACTATGGTACATTTCTTTGTATACTGCCAATTCTGTTAGATTTTATTGGCAATAGTTTGCATGCTAGAACTATGCACAGACCTGGAAACATTCAAGACCAGGTTGGACAGGGCTCTGAGCAACCTGACCTAGTTAGTGGTGTCCCTGCTCGCTGCCAGGGGGTTGGACTAGATGACCTCTAGGGGTCCCTTCCGACCCAAAACTTTCTATGATTTCTATGATTTTTTTCTCTTACTGTCTTTCAGGTGGAAAGGCAACTATTGCCCAAAACCCCTCCTGCACATCCAGCTTTAGAAAGATTTACTCCTAACAACAAAGGGTGGTAAAATTTAGCCTTCCTTCACACTGGAGTGGACAGCCAAGGCAGGGTAACCACTCTTTGTTGAATGCTGTATGGCAATGCTAAGAGCGTTCAGAGTCACTTTTAAACTGACTTTTAAAGAAGTCTTTATCTCCTACTCTAGATGGTTGGGGTACACTACTTGCAATATAACCACTGTTTGGGCGCTGAAAGCACCAATCTAGTTAGGCCACATGAGGTACTTCTGACTCACTGTTCTTCCACTACATGCCTAAAATTCAAGCAGCGCAAAAACTCTGATCTCCATTATGACAGTGCACAAAGAAAATGGCTGTACCCCATTTTGGCCCCTCTTTCTGAGACAGGAGGAGTATAATAATATTTTCAGACAGAAGGACTAAAACATAGTAGGCTTTACAGGAGAAGATACTATGGTATTTCAGTAGTACAACACCATAGTCCCCCAGTGACATATGAAAAAGCATATGGACTTACTGATAATTCTTTGATTAATTTTCTTAGTTCCCTGTGCCCGTTCTTCTCAGCGATACTTGCTGGATCATCTCCATATTTGTTGGTTATTTTGCAAGCCTGTGTGGCCTCAGGACAATTGAGCAGAAACGTTGCAAGGTTCTTTAATCCAAATCTGGCTGCACAGTGAAGGAGAGTAGGAAATTCTTCCAAATGGCTATCTGTATGTGGAAACAAAGTCTTCATAAATAACAGTTTTGCTTTTATAGAACACCTTCTTTTACAAAAGTCCTCTGAATATTAGTGCTACAGAATCACAGTTATCAAACTGCCAATACAGAATTGGCATCCAAAGAAAAATTTCTCCAACAATTTTACAATTCACACACATATTTTAATAAAGGAGCCTTTAGCTTAACTGAGAAATCTCATTTCTTTCTGACAAAGGGATTTTAGAGCACTTTTGTTTTATTGAGAAGTAAGTTTTCTTGCAAGGGGAAGAAAACTCTACAGCCAAGACATGCTTTTGCTTAGGTATATATTATTTAATGCTTTAGGAATCTTTTTAATCTGAGACATTTGAATGGGACATTTTTATAGGTTTGCAGTGCTATCTTTTCATATTAAAAGACGTTTCTGAAAATTCACGACTACCAGAGACTTGCAAAAATTTGCTTATTCCTGTAACGAAAAATCGGACAATTTAAAGATGAATGTATTGGATAATAGTTTTTAGGATTGACCTGAAATAGCATGATATTAATTTCTATCACAGACTTTATTTTTCACCTTGGAGAACTGGGACAAAGCTAAACTGAAGTCAGTTTATCATTTCAGCATAGTCTCGTATTCTGAGTGGCCACAAGTAACATACAACAACAAAAAAAGAGAGATCAAGCATAAACAATACTTCCCTCAGCCTTCAAACTCTACTTTCTACTCACTTGTGATATGTTGAGTAGTGATTTGTCTATGTATCAGCACACAGTGTATCTCTTTTCCAAGTACGCATCCTGCTTGCCCCAGGCACCACCAACTTCTTGCACCCTCAGGGTCTTTTGGCAGTGTCTTTACTACCCACTGTGAGAAGCGCTGCTTCTAGTTTGTTTTGAACCTGGCTCCTGCTAGCTTCAATTGATAGTCCGTAATTCATCTTACTCTCCATCTCTGTCTGCCCTCTCTGCACTTCTAGTGATTTACTCCTTCCCAGAATTTCTTTCTTGAAGAGCTCCAGTCTACTTCATTGTGCCTTGCAGAGAATCAACTCCATCACCCCCACTGCTCTTTTCTGAACCTTTTCCAGCTTTAATGTAACTATTTTGAGACGACAGAAGAGCTGCACATGATACTCCACTCGTGCGTGAACCATGCAATTTATGCATTGTCATAATTATGTCCTGTTTGTTCACTATTCCTTTTCTAATAATTCCTAGTATTTCATTTGCCTTTTGATCTGCTGCCTAGCAACAAGTTATGTTATCATGGAACTGCGTGGTCTTATTCCTCAGTGCTAATAGCCTGCTCAAAGTCTCTCAATTTTGTATGACAACATAGGGCTGCTTTTTCTACTTGCATCTTTTTACCTACAATGAATATGACCTGACATTTTACTACACAATTATGAAATCTCACAAGGCCTTTCCTCCATTTTTTTCCCCAATTAGCCCTCCTCTTTACTACTCTGAAAACTTTGTATCACTAGCCTAAGTTTTTTCTAACTGTCTGCTTCCTGGTTTTGGCCAGTTATTCATCCATGCCCAATCAATTACTGACTGGATCAGGCTTTCTGACTCTCACAAAAAACTACAAGCAATCTAAAAAGCAAAACTTCACATTACAGAAAATCTATGTTATTACAATTTTTATTAATCTGTCTGGTAGAGACGACACAATAAGCTGCTTATAGTTCTCAAGGTCCCCAGAGAAACTGCGTTTTGGCATCACAGTTACACCTTCTAGTACTACAGAACTGAAAACTTGTAGACTGCTGTTAGAAATCCAGCTATTTTACTTTTAAATTTCTTCAGAGGTCTTACTGAATACGAGTTAGTGCCGGTAATCTCTTTGTGCTCAGTCTGCCCATTTTTGCTATAACTTCATGATTCCTTCAACTCCAGACAGTCTCTTTCTATGACTCCCAACCAGGACTATAGCTTGGGAATCTACACAGTTTCTTCTAGCTTTCTTGAGTTCTTTTTTATATCCCAGTCATTAGTTGTCCAACAGACTAGCCAGCACATTTTCAGCTTTTCGTGTGCTGGAAGCAAGGCTTAGTAGTAGCTATGACTCCTCTTGGAATTCTGTTAGCTGCCAGTCTTTAATAAAACTTTCTCACTTCTACATTCCTTTACATATTAAAATCTGGCTCAGCAAATTTTAATATGTAAAAGAATGCAGAAGTGAGAAAGTGGTGGTGAATTTGTGTACCTTCCCCCCCACCCCTTTTTGCTCCTGCAGAATGTTAATACTGTAGACAGTAAAACCTCACCCCACCATTAGATAGAAGGATTCAAATAACACGAACAGCTCTTGGTATAGGCATGGCTAAGAACTGATTGACCAGAAAAATTGTTAGGACAATTCTTGACTGAATTTTGGACAAAGAATGTTCCACCACTATCCCACTTCAATATTGCTTTGACACAAGGTATTTGAGAGGGATACACTTTAGTAGAAAGTCACATTAACAACCCTAAAATGTTTCTTAAATAAATTGAGTGTTGCCTGACTTATTTCCACCAGGCAACCAAAAATCCAACCAAGAAACTGTAAATACACAGCACCTGTGTAAATCAAGTCACTTATTTCAGAAGCCTTGGCAGGCTGAGCTTCTGTCGACAAGGATATATGTTTTAGCTCATATTCCTTTGTGTTTGCAGCATGCTTCAACATACTTTGAGTTACAATAAGCAATCTTAAAACAGTACAGCAGCTAAAGTTTTTGAGAGAAGTAGGTGCCACACAACTTCTTTACGCCATATTGCTCAACATTTTAACAGAAGTTCCACAAACTGGACTTAATTCTGTAATTAGAAGAATTATAAATGTTACCCCAGAGTATAGCCATTTGACTTCTTGTTTTTGTCTATACTTTGCTAACCACAGGAAAAAACTAACCCCTCTCCCTCTCTCCCAATCAAGGCAAATATATATCAGCCTAAGGAGCTGTCACACGAGCAGTAAAAATGTATGCAAGCAATTTTAAGGCTGGGATGACAGCGTAAAAGCTAAGTGTATTTTTACACATTACACAGGACTCTCTTAAACAAAAGAAAGTGTCCAAGCCCAACCTAGTACTTCAAAAATCATCCACAAATCATCAACAAATTGCATTTCTTAGTGCTTCTGTATTTTGCTACTTTTTTTTTTTTTGAGATGTCCAGCAATGAAATAGGTGTTGAGCAGTAATTTTGAAGTAAATTACATGAACTCTAATAATAGTCTGCTTCCTGTTAGCAGATTCTAAAAGGTCAAACATAGTCAGTAGAAAGAGCCTTAACAAAGTATTAATAACATACTCTCAAAGGATTTCCACTCCATGCTAATGAAACCTGAAACAATTGGTTACAAATCCTTAAGAGGAGTCAAGTCTATATTAACAATGGACTGGATGCTATGATCTCGTCATCAATATAAGAAGAGTCAGTGGTATTCATAAGCCTGTTCTAGGCTGATGTCTGAGTTTTCAGAGTAACACCAAACAGAGGTATTGCAGAACCAGCTTCAAAAACTCTTCAGCTCCTCCACAGTTGAGCTGTTTCTTCTGGTCACCACTCTGCTCCTCCCTAGCTGGGTTTGATATTCAAGCAGTATTGCCACACTTACATACTTTGAACATTACAGGAGACTACATCATTAACAAATGAAATACCTCAGCCAGCCACAGAGAATGGTAAACATCAGTAAATCGACTTCCTAAAACAAAGGGGGTTTTATATTATTCCTTGCAGTAAGCAGAAAAAAGAGGCTGACTTCAGGTATGGAATCTTTAACATCAGCACTGGTAACGAGATCTTTCACATAATGCTCAAACAAAACATAAGCAAAACAAATGTTTTTAACATCACATAAACAATATTAAAACCCTTTCACCAAGAACAGGAGATAGAAATAGTTTCATTTGTTTCTTACTTTGACAATGAGTATTCAGATAAATCTGACCTGTACACCTTCATAATGATTTGGGTTACGTGAGCTTTGTTATAAAATCACACAGCTTCAAAATGTTGGTTCTAGTTATGACTACGGCTGAAGAAGCCATTGAGGACCGGGCTACTGCTACACACCAACATATCAGTCAGCAACTTTGTACAACAATGGAACAAAATTCCATACATGTATGCAGATACAAGCAGGATTGTTTTTATTTAGTAGCAGAGGGATTTTGTTTTGTACAAGATCTAGTGAGATCTTAGATTGAAAGACAAGTTCCAAAACGGTTCACTTTAAACAAGCATCAATGCTACCATCACTATTACATCTCTGAACAAAGAAGCTACAAGGATTACATTATTTTCTTGGGAGTGTGTTAAATCTAAAGACTGAACTTCATTATTGAAGTGTTAATTCCAGGATATGAATCTTGCTTGAGACATGAATCTACTGTCAGCTGTTATAAACAATTTCATCTTTTCTATCTTTTCACGGCATCCACTTCAAAAAAACGCATAAAAGGGAAAGGTCTGTTCACAAAGCAATTCAAATGGCTTACTTTCACACTATGAATTTCCACCCCATGGTTGAAACAGTGGCAACAGACAAGAATGCCATCAAAAGACCCGAAGTCCAGACAGGACAAATAACATAAGTTGCAGTGTGATTACAAAATTATTGTAACCTATCTCCTAATTTCATTCAAGAGTTCTCTCTGCAACATCTATTGTTACAGATAAATTTAAATACTACCGTGAAATCCATTTCTATAACAAATATTACTTTATTATCTTTAAATAAATGAATAACTGACCCTTGAATTGAAAGTCTTTTAGCAGTACAAAAAATGATGGCATAATGAAATTTTAACCGGAATTGAATGCTCTGGGGGGGAAAAAAATCATCACATTTATACCATTATTGGTACACAAGTAATACAGAACAAAACTGGCTACCTGAAGTATTTTATACAAAATAAATTTGTATAAAATAAATAATTTTGTAAATATTGCTAAGCTTGCACTATGACCAGATTTTTAGCCATAAGCCTTCCATGAAATTAAACACA